ACACCTAAGCCACAGCTTATGTTAATGAATTATTAAATATTGCATGCATGCAATTATGTTGAAATAATACAATATAAGAATGGGAATCTTATCTCATAGTAGGGATGCATATGGGCATTCTTTAGATTATTGGAATAGTGTCCCGCTCCTTGGCCATGCAAGCAACGCAGGATGATGTTCTTTGTGGATTAGAATCATGGGCAATCTCCAAAGTCAAACTCTACACAGTGGCTGTTTGGTGGGTGGCTTCGGCAAATATGTCTTCATGTGCCGAACGGTAGGACAAGTGAGGATAGTTGTTTGTGTAGATTATTATAAATAAACCCAATCCTAGACATGTATTTATAAAAAAACTCACATACTATTTAAATATAGAAACACATCCAAAATTAACCCCAAAATCAATAATTGTATATTTTTTGGGTGTGTTTATAAATGGGTTTTGAGTGTGTGTAATGATGGGTTTTGGGTGTGTTTATAAAGTGTTTTGGGTGTTGGGTTTTTTTATAATTTCAGCCCCCATTTGTGTGGTAGCTTGAAGACGCACAGTGCACTTCGAGGGGTTGAATATTTATATGCGGTACAGGAGCTATTATGTGCCGTTCAGAATCTTTGACCAAGTGGGTGTCTTGAGAAAGCCATTGGCATGGCTACCGTTCGGTAGCTGGTTGAACGGCATGTAGATGGTGGTTTCACTGTTGACTTGGGTCTTTGGGTGCCTTGAGCTTTCCTGGATGGGTGTGCCGTTCGGCAGCTAGGCTTGCGATGACGAACCCATTCTCTTTGGGTGTCCTGATAAATTTAGCAGCTGGGTGCCGTTTGGAATTTTGCCGAGACAACTTAGAATTGTCATTCTGCTGTTGTCGTTTGGTAATTTGGGGGGAAAGGGCTGCACCCACCTTACCGTTCTGTAATTCTGACAAAATCAGAGGTAGCCTGATAAGGCTGTATTTTCTAGTACCGAACGGTAGTTTGACCTGCTATTAGTGGGGCAAGTCCCTTGGTGGATCGGTGGGAATGCCAAACTGTAGTCATGCAGTTTTGCCTTTGCTCCCTTGCAAGCACATGTGCTTTTTACTAAAGTTGATGACAACTGGGCAATATTGCCCAACGGCACCTGGGCCACAAATAAAGCTTTTATTTGCTCAATATTAATCAATTTAGATATGCAATTTCCAATAGAATAAAAATAAAAGAGATGTGGTATGCTTCACTTATCTCTTGGAAGTTTCGTTGGCTTCCCTTGGACTTGAAATGGAGGTATTGCCGAACGGCACTTTAGAATTTTGTTGAGATGGTTGTCTCACTTTTGGTCATGCGAGCCATGCAAAGTGATAGCCATATTTTGATTGGCTTTTCCTTAAAATCTCATCTTCTGCAATTGTTGCCTTAGCATTCATTGTTGCTCCAGCATGGGATTGCCGAACGGCAACTTAGGGGATGCCGATTGTAAGGGTGCCGAAGGGCACTGAAGAAAGGGAGAATGACATAAGCCTTTTGTGTTGATTCCCACAGACGGCGCCAAACTGTTGACGCTAAAAAATGGTTCAGCACTCTTTAGCCCAACTTAGAGATGAGGTGTGATGGATGATGGGTGAAGATGAGGACCATCACCAAGTGTGTGAGGATTTGACAAGCGATAAGTATACAGAAGACAAGATTTACGTGGTTCACCCTTAATGAATGGGCTACGTCCACGGAGGAGTATATTCTCATTATTATAATAATGTGTATTTACATTTGTACAATGGGCTGGGCCCAAATATAAAGAGAAGAAAGTAGAGAAGCCCATGACTGAATACAAAGCCCAACCTAGGGGGGATCCCTTCCTAAGTGGAGAGTGGTCTCCTTTTATAGATGAGAGGGAGTCTTCCCTTCTTGCAATATTTCAATGTGGGACTCTTGGCCTTGCTTAGAATTGCTTCTAGTTGCTTGGTCAAATATGGTATAAACAGAAGCCCCCCAAGTTCTCAAGTAAGGAGGTACTTCTTGGTTGGGGACTTGTAATTTTCAGTGCATTGACCGAGCAACACCTTAGTCTTCTTCAGTTGAATTCCACCCACAGTGTGATAAGAACGCACCTGTTGATTTATGGCTCAGTATCAACACTTGTGGTGCCCATCCACATATTATCAAACCCCTCTCACCCGCTTTGCTGTTCAACCCATCTGGGTAGTACTCGTCACCCGACCCGGATTGGATGACCCAGATGAACGGCCGGGTCGACTCCTCCAATGCACTGGCCAGATGGGGATACACTTCTACTGTGGGACCCACTTCGCTGCCGAATGCCACGTATAACACGGACCCGCGGGGCTTTGAGTCCAGCCACCGTGCGACGTCGTCTTCGGTGTAGTTTGATTGCTGCCAGTGGTGTGGTTTCATCGGGCGCTCAGGGAGGAGCAGTGAATCTGACGGCTTCCAGTACGTTTCCGGCATGAGTGGGCCCACGCCCCATACTGGCATCCCCATCTGGGTTTTCATGTACTCGATGAACGGACGTTCCAGGAAGTCACACGTGTTGAACATCAGAGCAACGGAGCCTTCTAGCTCTGGGACCCACGGAGGCCGGTCTCCCGGTTTAGGCGGACCACCCCCTCCTCTTCCGCCGGGGGGCCAGT